TTGCCTATGGCACCAACCCTGCAAAGCACAAGAAGCTTTCAGGCCGCCAGCAGTGTGCTCAGTCTGTGTGAACTCCTAATCCCTCCTGATGTGCCCACAGAGCTACTTGCACTTGTTTTGGACAGGGTCTCTCTATGTAGCCGTAGCTGTCCTGGAACTTAATCTGTAGACCAGGCTGCACCTGCCTCTGCCTCCCAGGTGCTGAGATTAAAGGCGTGCACCCAGCTAGCGCTTGTATTTTTAATAGAGGATTCTGGAGATCGAGTCTGACAGCTGATGAGAAGAAGGGATGAACCACAATATGCTGGCAGTGACAAGCAGTTCACACAGGCCATTCACACAGCTCTCGGCTGACCTAGGGAAACAACGTCATCACCCAGACACCAACCTTCTCCTTGGAACTTGGTGACGTATTTTCAAACTCCCTAGACTGTCGGAAAGCAACCCAAGCTTCCCTTTACAATCACAAGGCAGTCCCCAGGGGCTCCACCTCAGATGTCAGACCCAAGGACAAAGCTAAACACTCAGAGACTCACTTACCATTGTGCCCAACAGGAGCTCTCTGCAGTCCCGGACGCTGAGCTCAGGCACAGGGTGGGGCTCTGTGTCCATCACAAAGCCCTTGGGCACCTTGAAGGGGACACCATCGAGAGCATTCATTCTGCCAGAGAATGGTGGCACAGTCTCAGAAGGGCCGAACAAGTAGCCGGGTGGCAGGGAGAGGGTGTCAAGTCCTCAGGGCTGTTACACAGAGAAAGCCTGTCTTGAAAAACCTAAATAAATACATACATACATACATACAATTAATCAAAGAGTGACTTATTAACATAGACAACTGGTATTTATCAATATTATATCCACTAACAAGGACTTAATTGTTGGGAGCCGTACGCCATTCGATAATGGCGCGGCTTCGTGTGGGAGCCGCATACGCCAATTGTCAATGGCGCGGCTCTGTCAAGAAGCCACATTCAAAGGCGCGGCTCCGTGAGGGAGCCGCACTCAATGGCACGGCTCAGTCAGGGAGCCGTGAGGTAAAATGCGCCTGAGTAAGGCGCGCCGGCTCCCTGCTTCTCGGCTCTGACAGAGCCATGAATGGGAGCGCGCATGCGCAGGGCACGCCGGCTTCCCGCGCTCTGGCTTCAGTCAGAGCCAAGCCGAGTCTGCGCATGCGCAAAGATTAAAAATTACTATGCTAATTAGGCCTCACTCCAAGAGCACTCTAAGAGCCAATAAGAAACTAGTATGCTAATTAGGCATCATTAAGCCAATGAGCATGCAGTAAGTGCTCCCAGGACTCTATATAAGCCCATGGGTTCTGGGGCTCTGGGTCCTTCGCCACTACCATCTATGAGAGCTGTAACACCATCTAAGAGCTGTAACACCATCTAAGAGCTGTAACATCATCTGAAATTGCTGTAACCAGTAAATTGCTGTCAGAAGAATCCTGAAGTGTGGCGTGTTCTCCTTTTCGGCGAGGCGGCGCGTCACACTTAATCTTACACAGTATGTGTAAGACCTCTACATAGAAAACCAAAAGTTATTAGATTAAATGGAGGAACATACCCTGATCAAAGATGATAAACTTCAACATATAACCTCCTGCAAACTAATGTACAGATACAAGGAGCAAAATTCTATCATGTTTTTGGTGTAAATTGGCATGCTAATTCTAAAATTAAATAGGATACAAAGAACCAAGAAAAGCCAGTTTCTTTTAACTTGTATGTGTGTCTACATGAATGCGGCTGATGTGTGCGCAGGTTCCCAGAGAGTTGTAAGGGTGCTGGATTACCTAGAGGTGGAGACACAGGCAGTTGTGAGCTGCTTGACACAGGATTTGGAGCCTAACTTTTGGCCTCTGTGAGCACAAAGCACTCTTAAGCACTGAGCCATCTCCCTAGCAGCAGGGCAATCTTAAAAAGAGATAGAGACAGACAAACAGACAGACAGACAGACAGACTGACAGACAGACAATCAGAAATCTACCACTGGGAGACAGAGGTAGGAGGGTATCTGTGAGTCCAAAGCAGCCTGTTCTACATAGTGAGGTCCAAGTCAGTCAGGGTTATATAGTGAGACCCCTTTCTCAAAAACAAAAACAACAAATAAGTAAATAAATAAAAACAAACCAACTAACCAAACAAGCAAACACTAACATCCCTCAATCAACCAACCAACAAACAGTACAAAGTGTGTCATAGGTGACCCAAGTCCCTTCACAGGGACCAGAAGCATGAAAACGGTCCAAAGGCAGACCACACAATACAGACCCTTGACTAATGAGACATTTGCTCTGTAGAACAGCAGAAAAGACTTTTCAATAAATGTTCTGGATCAATATGAGATCCATCTTGAGGGGAAAAAGAAAAAGAAACAATTGTGGGCCTAAAGACATAGTGCAGTGGTAGCGTCCTTGCTTAGCATGACAGAACTTCAGAACTGGAAAACACTGGCCTCCACCTCACCTCATGCGCTAAGTGCAACCCTACAGTTCTAGATGTGAATGGCAAAGACAACAAAACTTGAAGTGTATGTGCCACCGTGTTGAAATAGACAAACATTTCTTTTTTAAATTTTTAGTGTTTTGCTGGGCAGTGGTGGCGCACGCCTTTAATCCCGGAACTTGGGAGGCAGAGGCAGGCGGATTTCTGAGTTCGAGAGTTCAAGGCTAGCCTGGTCTACAGAGTGAGTTCCAGGACAGCCAGGGCTACACAGAGAAACCCTGTCTCGAAAAAAAAACAAACCAAAAAATAATTTTTTTTAGTGTTTTACCTGTCTGCACGCTGTGCCCTTGTGCTTTTAGGGACTAGGAGAAGACCATCAGATGCCCTGGGACTGAGGCCCAGTTGTGAGCCACCATGTGGGAACTAAACCCAGGTCCATTGAAGAGCAGCAAGGGCTCCCAACAGTTGAGTCATTTCTCTATTCTAAAATAAATACCTCTTTTTTTGATCGTTTGTAAGGAGTTCACTTTTATTAAACTGGTCTCAAGATTGTGTGCAGGTAAGCCAGGGAAACCAAAAACCTTCACATGTCTCAAGCTGGGGGAACAAAAGAGGGGGCCATGATGACTGACTATCCGAAAATAAAAACAAAAATTAAAAAGTATTAAGGCAGAAAAATATTTAAAAATCTGCAATAAATATAATTTATGCAAAAGCAATCCTGTCACCTCTCCTTCATGAACCCAGAACACAGACTGAGTCATCTTCCTTTCCAGAGTAGGAGGCGGCTTTTGGGAGGAGGGACTTCCTGTAACCAAGTATCTCACTGGAATTCGTATTAAACAAAAATGTACAATCAATCTTCAGGCACAAAGTACAGCTTTGAGAATGATTGTCCAACCAACTGTGGTCGCCTTCACTGTTACAGTTTCTAAATCCTGAAGTCAAAAGCACCAGAACAAAACAAAACTTAAAACACAAAGCCAAGCCAATGTTGTCTTACGTTTGTGTGTTTTCCTGCACATGTCAGGTTTTGTCAAGAAAAGCTGTACCCAGAAGCATTGTTGCTGGCTGATGAAGTGGCTCATTGTTCTGTTTGTCCATCCACATCGCCTGGACAGGAAACAGTGAGGTGAGGGTGTGGCTGCCAATCCAGAGTACCTGCGCTCAGAGAAGACATGAGTGAACATATCTTCCCAGAGCTGGGAGCCAGAGTGGTGATCTGCATTCTGTTGATGATGCCTGGCTATGTGGTAGTGCCACCAGACATCACTAGTTGGGACGGAGGTTTTACAGATGAAAATGACAGTCTTCTGGATGTCATGGGATTTCATAGCCAGGAAGGAAGGCTGGAAGAATGCCTTGATGCAATGGAACTTCTCTTTGCCAACAATGATGGCCTGGTTGTAGGGTTAGCTAGTAGCTCTTCTCCAGGGAGGAGGAGGAGGAGGATGCAGCAATGACTGTCTCTTGTTCCAAGTCCAGTACAACATAGCACAGCTTCTCCTTGACATCATGTACAACTTCCCCATTAGCAGTGGCAAAAGCTTTAGCCGTGCCCAGGCAAGATCTTCATGGGGTAATCTTTCAGGTCCAAGACAGCCAGGTTCACACGCAAGATGGCGTTGGTGAGAGAGCAACCTTCGTAGATGGGCACAGTGTGGGTGAGACAGCGAACCTTGCAGAAGGGCATAGCATTGTTAAGAGCATAGCCCTTGTAAGTGAGAGTGTAATTCTTACAGATGGGAACAGCGAAGGTGATTCTGTCTCCAGAATTCATGGTCCTATAAGGCTTGTACAGGGACAGCACATCCTGCGTGGCTATGCAATGGCTTGGGTGCAGAGGTTTTGAACATGATCTGGGTCATCTTTTATGGTTGCTTTTAGGGTTCGGGGGAGCCCCAGACAATAGTATGGAGTGCTCCTTTGGGGCTACACACCTCACTGTAGAAGGTGTGGTACTAGATCATGTTGACCCAGGTGTCTTGTTCCATGGGATACTTCAGGGTCAGGATGCTCTTCTTGCTCTGGACCCACACAGGAGTCCTTTGGCTTGAGTCCACTATCACACTCTGGTATCGCAGACAGCCCAAGATGGAGGTAAAGACTGCTGGGAAAGCTGGACAGTGGTGGTGCATGCCTTTAAACCCAGCACTGAGACAGAGGCAGGTGGATCTCTGTGAGTTCGAGGCCAGCCTGGTCTACAAATTGAGGTCTAGGACAGCCAGGGTGGTTACACAAAGAAACTCTACATGTGAACCTGGCTAGTTTTTTTTTTTTTTTTCAAAAAAAAAAATACTGTTGGTAGCACGGGGTTGCTTTGGAAAGAAGTTTACAAAAGACCAAGGATGCAGAGCCAGTCTGGGTGGCATATGTCATCGGTCTGGGAGGCAGAGGTCTATAATCCCAGGACTCAAAAGTCTGAAGCAGGAGGATCACAAGTTCAATGCCTACCTGGGTTATAGAATGACATTAAGTCTAGCCTGGGCAATTTAGTGAGACTCTGTCTTAACATAAAGGAAAGAGGAGGGCTGGGGCTATGGAGCTCAGAACTCAGTGGTAAAGTGCTTACTTAGCAGACAGGAAGCCCTTGGTTAATCCCCAGTATCACATGTATATAAACACATACAAAGAAAAAGACTAGTCATGAAGACAATACTGATAAACTGGATTGAAATTAGAAGTTCTATCAGAGTTTAGAGACAACCAGAACGGGAGAATCATATTCATGCACTGTCAGTAAGAAGTAGTCAGTACTTGTCCAGAGTGTCTATTGAAGCTGATATCCTAGAATTAAAAACTCACCTTCATATCACTTATTTTTTGGATAACATTGTACAGTATCTGCCCTTGGTTTATAGTAATACAAGGAGTTCACTGCTTTGGAAAAAGCAAAAAACAAACAACAGCAACAAATACAAAGCAAAAAAAAAAAAAAAATCCTCAAACCCTTGTTCACATGGAAGTCAAGCTCAAAACTACCTGTAATACAAAGTAAACTCCTGATCATACATAGCCTGGCAGTTTGCACACAATAGGACAACACACCTGGACCAGGGTGTGGCTCTGGTTTCACACAATAGGACAACACACCATGAACAGGACAACACACAGCCCTGCTGCTCGGGGTCACTGGGCGGTCATACTGTTCCTGGCAGGACAGTCTCATGGAGAGCTAGGGTGGATAATCTGGGAGCAGACAGGTCACGTGATGACCGGTGCCAAAGCCTTTAATTCCCTCATCTCCTCCCCCACCTGCCTGTTCTCATCAGTGTCTTCCTGCCTCTAGGACTCATCTCATCCAGCCTCAGTTCACATCCCTGTACGTCAGTGGGTGGCACTATGAACCTCTATGGGCAAGATCAAGCAAATCTTGGAGTAGCCACCAGTCTGCTTTATTGGCTCAGTTTTACAGGGTACCAGTGAGGTCTAAGGATGTTACAGGAGGCTCAGAAAAGTTCAGCAGGCTTTACTACCCTCAGATTTATCTTTTAGTCTCAGCTATTACTGAATTTTGAATTACGGAGAAGCCAGCTACTATTGAGGCTCAAGTGTAAAATCTTGTCCAC